AAGATTGCACAAGTCTTTTATCCTGGTTCAGCCACTCCACATGTGACCTACATCCAGTCCTCAATCATAACCTGATCAAGATTTGTTCCACTATCTTAATGAAGAAGGTTTACAAGCATACCACACATGCATATACTCCTACATTCAAGATAACCACTTTCTTGACCTCAAGAAAGCACCCCTTGTAGAAACCCACTATAAGAATTCCTTACCACTTGAGAAACCTTCTCAAGATTTACAAGTATTCACAAAGAATAAAGGAACGAATTCACCTGGAATTCAGAAGCAAATCTTAATCTCTTTCCTTTCAAGAATGTGATGATGATGATCTTTTCTCAAAGCTTTTCACAAATGTTTTTCTTCTTGGATTCACAAAGAAAACTCTCCAAGATTGTCACAAAGACTTCACAAAAACGCTTTTCTAATTTTGATTCTCAATTCTAACTTTGTTCTAAAGTTTCAAAATGTTCAAACTATTTATAAAAGTTTCAGAACCAGATAATTGATTATTTTAAAGAATAATCGATTATTTTGTTCTTCAGATTTTCTGGAAATCCACCAAGAACAATTTAATCGATTATTTTGTTGAATAATCGATTATTCCAGAGAGTCATTTCTAGGATAATCGATTATTTCACAAATAATCGATAATTGCAGCAAGGCATCCCTTTTTGCCTTTTGCTGGAATAATCGATTATATTTAATTATAATCGATTATTTTGAGTTAGTTTTCAAAACTTTGTTTTAAGTCTCAAAATAACTTTTTAACCTTTAAATTCATCATCATACACTCCCTAATCAGATTAAATATAGATTTAGCTTATGCACACAGCACACACAAAATATAAACTCAATCAAAACAATTTTATACACTATAAACTACTCCTATTACATAGCATTTCCCTTTGACTTTGTTTTTTTACTTCTTTGTTGTTGATGTCCTTGGTACACACTTGTTATCATCAAAACTCTTCAAACTTCAGAGGTGATCTCATCAATCTCAGGCTCTCCAATCTCAACAAGTAGTAGTACCAGAATCTACCCACCAAGTATCATGTGGTACAAAAGTTAAATTAACTTCAGAACAAACAAAAGAGAGAAAATTACCTTTCTTTACACGCCAAGAGGCGTACTTGGGACACTCTTTCTTCATGTGCCCAGGCTTCTTGTAGAAGAAGCAAGTAGGTGTGTTCTCATCTTTTTTGACTTTCTTTTGCTGAGAAGTCATTTCTACAACATCCTTATTATTCTTTCACTTCCTATTCTGAGTGTTTGACGCTAAATGAGCACTTTCAGTCTTTTCTCTTTGTTGCCTTTCCTCCTCTTGCACACAGTGAGAAATCAGTTTATTCAAGGTCCATTTATCTTTCTGAGTATTATAACTCACCTTGAATTGTCCAAAGTGTGTAGGAAGGGAAATCAAAACTAGGTGCATGAGCAAATCATCAGACAACTCTAACTTTAGTGCTTTTAGTTTTGACGCGAGATTAGAGATTTTCATAATATACTCCAATTCAAAGGAGAAAATGAAGCCATGGCCGCCTAGCTCCTTAGCCGAAATTTCCATGCTACACTCTTGGATTTTGAAGCTTCTCCTCCAAGTTTCTAAACCTTGGTAGGGTTGGCTGGCCTTACCCTAAACCCTAAACCCTAAAACCTAAACACCACACCTTCCACTTATCCCAAATTGTGAAAAATTAATTATAACTTTTGCTTTGGTTAAGAGAGTAATTGATGACATCAAACAAGTTTGGGAGAGTTGAAGAATGAGGGATTCTGGGAAAAGGAAAGTATGTGGTCATTCAAAAAAAAAAAAAGAGAAAACAAAACAAAAATATAAAGATGCAAAAGTGTATATATGCATCACAAAAAGGCTAGTGGCTTGGGTCCGGTTAGGGGCATATTCTAAATTGTTGTATTGGGTTGTGGAGAGGAATATCATTGTAAAAATCTCAATTGCTCTCTTAAGCCATAGCACTTTCAATCCTTGACAAACCATAAGATTGCTACTTCTTGACCCAGATTGCCCTAATAAAGACCTTGTGATAAGTGCCTGCATTTGCATTACCATTGGTTCCATTTGGAAACGAAGAGCAAAGTTGAATTATGTGGCGTGAGTAGTAGATTTGAGAGAAACACTCACCCTAATACACTAGTGTGCATAGAGAGAAACACTTTCCTAGTGAGGATGCATTCATAGATGGTCATTAACTTTTCTCAGCTCTTTGATCTCTTTTGAAACCTTTGTTTGCACCTTGTCATGTTCCATTGCAATAATTGTGACTGAAAGTTCATCTAAGGTTCATGCTTGCGAAAAGAAAATCCAAGTGAGCTAGAATGTAGGAATTTGACATACATGCATTGCTTGGTATCTGCCAGATCAATTACCTGTTGCTTGAGGGCAAGCAAGGTTCTAAGTTTGGGGGAGTTGTTAAGTCTCAATTATACTTCTTTTTAGACAAGACTTATTGAACAATTCCACTCATCCTATGCACCCTTGCAAGATAATTGTTCTATTTTTTATTCAATTTTTGTGCAGGTATTGAGTGAAGAGTTGAAAGTTGAAGATCCATTGGATTGGAAATTAAAGGAGCTAAGGAGTAGGCAAAGACTAATGCGTCGAGCGCGGTAACCTTAATCTGACTCCCCCAGCTCGTATTTGAGTAAGTCTTCGAGGATTTTCCCCTCATTCACACATTGGGCGACTTCTAGGAGCTAAGGAAGGGATTCCCGGTGCTTGGGACCGTTCGTGTGGGATTTTTTCCTTCGGTTCTTCCATCTCTCTTCCATCTCTATCTTTGTTTCACCTTCATTGTTTTAAGCGATTTTATCCATTATTTTGTGGGGTTAGATGTAACCAACGAAACTCTTATGTAATCTTTACGTTTTTAATGATATATATATATGTTGTCTCATTCATTGTTGTGTTATGTTTTTATTCTTAATGCTTGCTTTGGATTGATCCTCCTTTGCTTGATATAGAGTCCATTGAGTATTGGAAAATAGCCTTTTGAACTAGCTCTGAAACAAATACCTAGTGGGAAATGTATCTAGGAATGGAGCTTGGCCCATTAGTAGTCTTAAATCCTAACCCGTAATGCGGGTGTAGGTATTGGATACTCAAGGAATTGATATTCACTATTCGCACCTAGGCTCTTACTCTAAGTGATTAGGTTTGAGTAAACTTATGGGTTGACTAGACAATGAATGTAACGAGAGATTAAAGATTCATCAGTGTGTAGTTCGGTGATATCTGACCCCACAATCTTGCAAAACCATAATACCATTTCTACCCTTTCCACACACAAAACAAATAGTTTTATAGTTTATAGTTTAGGGTTTAGGGTTTATAGTCAAATTTGCATGACAAACTATGAAAATGGAATTATTCTTTAGTCGCGAATAGTTAATAAATGTTTATTTTACATACTAGTCACTGTGGATACGATATAATTTACTACTTGAACGGCCGGTATACTTGTCGTGTTTGAGACCGTTGATAGAATTAAAATGATTTACAATAATAACAAAAGTAGTTTCAACGAAAATCTCAACAGTCTCATTTAAATAGAAGGTGGAGATAGGGTTCAATCAATTACACTCATGAAACCCTAAACACTACATCAAGGACACTCTCAAATCCTAAACACTACATCAATGACACACTGCATCAATGACACTCATGACTAAAGCATTTAATTTTTGACACACGTAAATTAATGACATTCTTAATTAACATATTTATAATTTTAACAAATGATTTACTAAATTATAATATTAAATTTTGTATATTTAAAAATATAATTTCATTATTAAAAAATATATTTTAATACATATTTTATTTGAGAATTTTCAATTTCTATTTTTTAATTATATTTCTCTTTTAATAAAATAAATTAGTTTAAAATATATTAAAATAATTTTTAATTATATTTCTTTATTATATTAATTATATTTTTTTATAACATCTTTATTTTTTACATTTATTTAAATATTTTGTTTTAAAAAAACAATATATTTTTATATTCTAAACCCTAAAATAAATTAATTTTTTTAAAAAAATTAATTATAATTTTTAAAAAATTCTGAAAATAAAAAAATGAAATACAAAAAAAATTCAAAAATCTGAAGAAAAAAAAAACAAAAAACGAAAAAAAGTATATTAACAAAAAAAAAAAAAAAAGCCCGAGCAAGTTGGATATAAACAAACATAAACATGGGTTGCTATAAGATTCTGTGGAAACTAAAGCCATGACAGATGCCGTGGAAACTTAAGTCATCTCTGTTTATATAAACTAGTGAGGCCTCGTTATAAAAAAAATGAAAAATAAAAATAATGAAATTAAGAAAGTGTGATTTATTAATGTAGTTTGATTGGGTGCCGGAAACAATATATATAGCTACAAACGCTACATTACATAACAAAACACACATATGCAGACAGGATGAAATGAAAGCTTAGAATTATAAAATACATGATCTACCTAAAATCACCAACTTGGTATAATAATTAACTAAATAAAAAAGGCTGGAGAAAATTGGAACTCATCCACCAACTGTGCAGCAAGTAATTTTTAATTGACTTTGGAGATTAATTTTCATTGGCAACATCCATAAATAGTTTACCCAAAGGAAAGAAAAAAAGGCAAAAGACACACCATATTTTCACAAAATGTTTATGCTGGATACATATGAGAACAGCATAATAGCAAGTTAGCAATATGAGATGAGAGTGAAATGGCAGAAACTGCAGTATCCTTTGCCTTGGGAGAAGTGTTCCAATTCCTAAAGGATGAAATAATCCTTCTGAGAGGCATCCATAAAGATTTTTCAGACATCAGAGATGAACTAGAAAGCATTCAAGCCTTCCTCAAAGATGCAGATAAAAGGGCAGCAGACGAAGAAAACGCAAACGATGGAATAAGAACATGGGTGAAGCAGGTCAGAGAAGCATCATTTCGTATAGAAGATATCATTGATGAATACCAAAGGCTCATTCATGTGCTCCAAGTCAAACCACTTGGATGTGGGGCTTTAATGAGCAAGATTACAAGCCTGATTTCTCGTCATCAAATAACAACTGAGATTCAGGACATTAAACAGTCACTTTCTGTAATCAAGGAAAGAAGTGAAAGGTACAAGTTTCAAGTTTCACAAGAGACATCTAGCAGATTTGAAGAAAGAAGATGGCATGATCCTCGAATAGGTTCCCTTTTCATTGAAGAAACTGAAATTGTAGGATTTGAAGACTCAAGAATGGAAATGGTTGATTGGCTGGTGAAGGGCACAAAAGATCCTGCAGTGATATCAGTGGTAGGCATGGGAGGACTTGGAAAAACCACTCTTGCCAAGCACGTTTTTGATAGTGAAAAGGTAAAAAATCACTTTGATTGTCGTGCTTTCATCACAGTTTCTCAATCATACAATGTGAGAGGGATATTCATAGACATGATAAAGCAATTTTGTAGGGAGACAAAAGACCCTGTTCCAAAAACGTTAGAGGAAATGAATGAGACGCCACTAATTTCTGAATTGAGGCAATACTTGGAGCATAAAAGGTATTTGATATTCTTTGATGATATATGGCAGGAAAAATTTTGTCACCAAGTTGAATTTGCCATGCCTAAAAACACTAAAAGTAGCAGGATCATAATCACCACTAGAATGATGCATGTTGCTCAGTGTTTCAAGAAATCCTTTCTAGTTCATGTTCATGAGCTAAAACTATTGCCTCAATGCGAAGCATGGGAACTCTTTTGCAAAAAAGCATTTAGATTTGAGTTAGATGGGCAATGTCCTGCAGAGCTTAAAGGTATCTCGGAAGAAATTGTTACAAAATGCGGGGGGTTACCTTTGGCAATTGTGGCCATTGGTGGTCTATTTTCAACAAAATCTAAAACTGTGTTTGAATGGCGAAAGGTGAGTCAAATTCTGAACCTTGAGTTGCAGCGTAATGTCAATCTAGCTAGTTTGACTGAGATTTTATCTCTTAGTTATGATGACCTGCCTTACTATTTGAAACCATGCATTTTGTATTTTGGTATCTATCCGGAGGACTACTCCATTCATCATAACAAGTTAACTCGACAATGGATAGCAGAAGGGTTTGTAAAATCTGATGGGAGAAGAACTTTGGAACAAGTTGCAGATGAGTACTTAACTGAGTTAATTTATAGAAGTCTAGTTCAAGTCTCGACAGTTGGCTTTGCAGGGAACGTTAAATGTTGTCAAGTCCATGATATATTACATGACATGATCGTAAGTAAAGCAAAGGACTTAAGTTTTTGCCATTTTGTAGAAGAAGGTGATGATGAATCAGCCACAGCCACAACCAGAGTTGGAATATCAAGACGCCTATCTATAGACACTATTTCCAACATAGTGTTGAAGAGAAATATCGACACACACATCCGTGCTATTCATGCTTTTGGAAAAGGAGGACTGCTTGAGCCTATTATGGCTCAATTATCTTCAAAGTCAAGGGTTTTGAAAGTACTTAACCTTGAAGGTACATCGCTAAAACATGCTCCTAGTGATTTAGGAAATCTTTTTCACTTAAGGTACCTAAATCTAAGGAGTACTAAAGTACGGGTTCTTCCTAAATCTATTGGTAAGTTGCAGAACTTAGAGACCTTGGATATAAGATATACGTTGGTTCATGAGTTGCCAAGTGAAATAAATAAGCTCAAAAAGTTACGACATCTACTTGCTTTCCATCGAAACTACAAAACAGAGTATTCTCTTTTGGGATTTACAAGTGGTGTGGTTATGAAAAAGGGTATTAAAAATTTGACTTCTCTGCAAAGTCTTTATTATGTGGAGGTAGATCATGGGGGAATAGATCTCATCCAAGAGATGAGAATGTTAAGGCAGTTAAGGAAGTTGGCCTTGAGGAATGTTCGGAGTGAATATGGGAATGCAGTATGTGCTTTATTGGTAGAGTTGACAAGCCTTCAATCACTTAAAGTCACTGTAATACATGATGATGAATTCATGGACTTGAACAACATATCATCCCTACCCCAACTTCGACGACTTAAATTGAAAGCAAGACTCGATAAGATGCCTAATTGGATTTCAAAACTTGACTGTCTAGTAAACTTAAGGTTGGCTCTATGCAATTTGAAAGATGACCCATTAAGATGGCTAGAGAAGTTGCCAAATTTGTTGCAGCTCAGTATTTGGGACAAAGCCTATGATGGTGAAATTTTGCATTTTCAAAGTGGAGGATTTCCAAAATTGAAGGAACTGAGTCTAGCTCGCTTGCTTAGATTGAATTCTATCATAATAGACATGGGAGCCTTGCTTTCACTTGAAGATTTTTCAATTATCAAATTGCCCCATCTCAAAAAGGTATCCCCTGGCATCAAAGGCTTGGATAACCTTAAAGTCCTTGACTTCCTTAACATGCCAACAGAATTTGTTCAGAGCATTGATCCAGAAAAGGGACAAGATTATTGGATCATCAATCATGTTCCCCTTGTAAGCATTCGTCGCTGGGTTGGCCCAGAACTCAGTGATTTTGATGTCCGTACTATTCACTCCTCCTCCAACCAGTCATAAACACTTTGATGAGTAATATGAAGGTACATATCCTTTCCTCAATCATATGTTTGTGTTTGTTCTATATTTATTAATTGCCATATTCTCTCCCCAAATGAAATGTTTCCTTTAAGTCATCGTACATAACAAGGAGTAATAAGACTTCATTTCATTTATCTTCCATGCTGTTTGTTGCAGATTATTGTGGGTGCTGCTTTTCAAACCTTGTAATCAAGAATTCTTCATTTGAATGGACATTTTCATTTTCTTAATAAAGACAAATGTAATTTCTTTGGATTTGTTGTGGTGATGGAACCACTGTTACTTAACAATCATTTTGCATGTATTCTAAACTTTAGTCTCCCTTCTCTCGGTTTTGGAAGGCAAATGTGTTTTTTTTCTTTTTCTTTTTTTGTGTGTGTGGAATTACTCTTTAATGTTTGTAATGAAGACATTTTTAATTTAAGAGGACATTTCGTTTTCCTACCTTATATAAACAAGGCTATACATATAATTTAGTCTTTATACATGTTGCAAATTTTCAATTTGATTTGTACACATAAAAATTTATTAAATCAATCCTGATATATATGTATAAATCTTAACGAGTTTGACATTTGTCATCATATAACTCATTTGAATGCTCTAACAATAGAACTCTATCTGTTGACAAAAACAAAAAACTTAATTTAAAATAGAGTAATAGATTATAAATAGTTGTAATATATATAAAATATAATGATTTAGAAAAAATATTTCTATTTGAATTGATTACCAAGATATTGTAATCAATTACACAATGTATTTTGAAAATACAGGTTTTTCAAAAATCGATTATAATCACCCCTGTTTTATAATTGAATACGTTAGTTATTTTTTAAATGTAAACTTTCAAAAACTCCCTATTTTAATCAATTATATGGAGAATTCATCGACCAAATTCATTCAAGAACCATACCCAGAAAGCTCAAGAACATATCTGCCAGGCACTACAAAGAAGTGTTTGTACTTTAGTAAAAGAAAATTAAAAGTACAAGCAGATTTTGGAGGTAAAATTGATCACCAAATAAGTACAACTAGTTATTTTTACATTGTTAGTTGAATGTAGCTGATACAAAAGATTGTTACTTTATCCACTATAGTTCGAGTAAAGAGTTGATATGGTTTCAAGGATTGTGAAGAGTTGGAATTCATCCAAGAGAATAGTTTTTTGTAGAGTGATAGTTAAAGTGCAATACACGTGACAAGGAACTCAGCATATCATTCCATAACAAAGCACATCAATCTTTGTTATCACTTCATCAGATATTTACTTGAGGATGACGTGGTAATATTGAAGAAGATTCAAGTTAGTAAGAATCTAATAGATATGTTAACAAAAGTGATAACTATTTGCAAAGTGAAGTTGAGTTCAGTTAGTCTGCTACAATAACAAACAAATAATGATGACGCACCGTTGGAGTTGTGTGAAGATAAATTAAAATTAGTCTTATAGTGGGAGATTGATGGAAATAGTCGACACCACCAAATAATGGAGTGTAGAGAGTGGAGGTGGCATCTAAGTGCATACATAAATATGCAACCAGAGAAAGAAAACAAAATGTACAGTGAGAGAAAATATTTATTTTTCAGAAGTAATATTGTGAGTTGAGTGTTTATAAACACTATTTTTTATTTTCTCAACAAATTTGATAAATCTGATAGTAGAAATTTGCATAATTTCTCAACAAATTTTTATCTTCATTAGATTGTTTTTTGGGGGGCAAAGCAACTAAAAGGAAAGAACTTATAGAAAGTCAGTCACTTTCAATAATTAGAAGAAAAAAAAGCATATGTGCAAACAAATAATGTTAACTCACAATATTAAATATACCATACATGTTAATAGAACAGAAGAAACAGGTTCAAAGTAAAAGCATTAAAAAAAGGAATCTATGATCAGAGAAACTCACGCCATGAAGTAGGACTTGTACTGCAGTAAGAAACATACCCTTTGGTGGGTGTGATTGTGGACTTGTAGCTCATCTACCTTAGGCATTGGAGCTCCCCAATCTCAAGCCATAATTGTCTTTCACACACTCTCAACAACAAATTGTCACTCTATTAAGGGGTTGCCAATCCATTTCAAACACCATCTGCATCTCAGACATGTGAATTTGCTAAGAGATTGAATTACAATATTTCTATTTCTTTTCCATTTCTCCTGAACTAGACACTCATTTTTTGTTAGGTTGTAACTAGGGTTTCCTACGAACTAAGCCTAAAAAGTAAAAACTTAAGATAAAAAAGAAAATTTAACTTGATAATTCATTCATGCCCTTCCTAGGGTTATTACAGAAGCTATATAACAGCCTAAGACCTCTAACGGTCATAAACGGCTATATTGATAAATGATAAGGTAATCATAAGCAATAAGTCATGTGGGCTTTTTGTAGTAATGTGGGCTTTTTGGTAATGTCTTTAGGGAAGGGTCCATTAACGGAATGTAAGCTCGGATGATAATTTTTATTCTTTTTTTTTTATGTATTCATATTCACTTATTTCTCTCTTTCATATTTCCATCTATTTTATTTTTCATTTATTTGCTTCCATCCTACCAAGTACTAAACACACCATTATAGTATTTTCTCTCACTTTTAATTTTTTCTTATACAGTATGAATGCATGAATCCGCTATTCAGTATGTTTTAAAATAACTATTTTAATACTTTTTCTCTAATTTGAGTGTAAAAAACTAATCAAGTCCTTGAAAGTCTATGTCATTTTCACTTTGATTGTATTAAAACTAAAAAAAAACAGTCTTTAAAAGTGTACAGTCAGCCTTTGTCGAGTCTCGCTCCATACTAGAGAACGTACTGGTTGCCATAGAGCTACTGCATCACATGAAATGCAAAACAAAGGGTAAAAAAGGTGAGCTTGCTCTTAAGATCGATATTAGCAAAGCGTTTGACCGTGTGAACTGGGCCTATCTCCAAGCCGTGATGACAAAGCTGGGCTTTCATAATAGATGAGTCCATTGGATTTGCATGTGTATGACCTCAATCAACTTTAGCATTCTCATGAATGGTGAAGCATCTGAACCAATCGTTCCAACTCGAGGATTGAGGCAAGGCGACCCATTGTCCCCTTACCTTTTCATCCTCCACGCGGAAGGCTTATCTACACTCTTGAAAAAAGCATAATCTTGTGGGGATCTACATGGTACCAAAATTTGCAAGGGTGCACCTCAACTAACGCATCTGCTGTTTGCGGATGATTGCTTCCTATTCTATCGAGCCTCAGTCTTAGAGAGCACAAAACTTAAAGAGATCCTGAACCAATATGAGAGGGCTTCGGGACAAGCTATAAACCTCTATAAATCATAAGTTTATTACAGTCGCAATACACCTTTGAGCATGCGTGAGTCCATCAATAACATTATGGGTGTCACAGAATGTATGGGCACGAGCAAATACCTAGGCCTACCATCCATGATAGGTCGCAAGAAGAAGGCCATATTTAACAACATTAAGGACAGGATTTGGAGGAAAATTAACCACTGGTCGAGTAAGCACTTATCCAAAGTAGGGCGAGAAATACTTTTGAAATTTGTTGCTCAAGCAATCCCTTCGTATTGCATGAGCACTTTTCCCCTCCCAACCACGCTCAGTGGTGAAATACAAAAGATGATGAACTCCTTTTGGTGGGGTTCAAACAGAAATGCTGGTCATGGAATACATTGGTTAAACTGGGAAAAGGTATCCATGCGAACAGAACATGGTGGAATGGGATTTCGTCATCTCCACAGTTTCAACTTAGCCATGCTATGGAAGCAAGGTTGGAAGTTTCTAACCAACCAATGCTATCTTAACTCGCGTTTTCAAGGAAAAATACTTCCCAAGAGGGGACTTTTTGGGAGCTCGGTTGGGCCACAACCCAAGTTATGTTTGGCGTAGCATCCACACTTCACAGGTGGTGGTTAAGAGCGGCTTGAGATGGTGCATAGGTAATGGTCAAGACATTCATGTATGGCGGGATCCTTGGTTGCGAATCTCTACAACTCCATATGTGACCACACCTAGTCCACCGGGTCATGACTCATGAGAACCTACTGGTATCCCATCTTATTGACACAAATTCAGGTACATGGAACCATGAGCTTCTTTCTTTGTTGTTTTCCCAGTCTGATGTCTCTACCATACCTGCCATACCTCTCACTCACCTTCATGAAAGGGATTCCATCACTTGGAACCTCTCTAGGAAGCCTAGCTATACCGTAAAATCAACATATTACTACATCATGGAGTCACTTATCTCCAACTCACACCTTAGGGAACCGGGTAACTGGCTGCAACTATGGAAACTTAAGCTACCGCAAACAATGAAGATCTTCCTCTAGAGAATACTAAGAGATTTTTTACCCTCTCGCTATCGGCTATAGCAACGAGGTGTGCCATGCACTATCCTTTGTGCTCACTGTAACATGGGCCTTGAAAACGAATGGCACCTATTCTTTGACTGCGCTGAAGCCCAAGCCATTTGGAATGCTTCTGGCATTTGGACTCTCATATCACACGCTGTCAACAATGGTAACGATTTTAAGGAGACGCTCGGCCATCTGTTAAATAGCCTCAGTCACGAAAACATAGTCAAAATGGTGGTCAGCTTATGGTGTATCTGGCAGCGCCACAACAACAAGATCTGGTCAAACACCACTACTCCTCCTCATCTTGTTATCTCCCAGTCCATGCAGAAGTTTGAGGAATGGCAGCATGCACGAGCAAAGGAACATCCTCCTCCCACACAGTCATCATCTCCTGGTAGCTGGACACGCCCACAAGTAGGTTTCATTAAAGGAAATGTTGATGCAACCATATTTAAGGAAGATAACAAAGTAGGCTTTGGAATCTGTTTACGTGATGCAACTGGGTCCCTCATCAAGGCCAAGTCAGGCTGGCTCTATGGAGTAGCCCCGCCCCACGAAGAAGAAGCCACGACTCTCCTAGAATCCATCCGGTGGGTGTGTGATCAAGGTTATACCCGTGTCATACTCGAATCGGATTCCAAACAAGTTGTGGAGGACATCCTAAACTCCAACATCTATTATTCAGAATACGGTCACACTCTACATAGATGTCATTCTCTACTCAACTCTCATCCGAACCTATTGGTCAGGTTCATCCGGAGACAAGCAAATCATGTCGCTCACTCCTTAACTAGGACGTCAAGATACTATGCTAGCTCCCATGTTTTTTATTTCATCCCAACATGTATTGCACCTCTTATTTTGAATGATATCAGTTAAGTTTATTCCCTTAAAAAAAGTGTAAAACATCCCTAATTTTAGTCCAACATTCAAAAATGCATGTGACTTAAATAATAATATCAACGTATATTTAATTACTAAAATAATAATAAGTAATTATTTTTAGAAAATTAAGTAAAACAACTAGAACTTAATTTCATGGACTTTTTGTTAATTTTCATATTTTCAAGGATTGAAGTGTCAACGACATACACTTTTAGGAATTTGAATGGTGTTTTATCTAGAGATGACAAAAAAAATCAGTACCGTGAATAAAATTTGTTATTGATTTTAAATGTACAATTAAATGAATTTTCACTTAATAATAGAGTCAAAACAGATAATAAGGTACTCATACCTACAAGTAGCCACACTTTAAAAATATTTAAAATACTATAAATTATATATAAAGTAATTTGGTTTAATTTATCTTTATACTAAATATTATTTATTTTAGTATAAATATATATTATAAAATTATTTTTTAATATAACTATATGCTTTAAAATTATTTCTTTTAATTTAATTTAATTTTTTATCTTTTGATTTAAAATTTTACATTTTGTCAAATATCTACAAACATCCATGGATACCTGCAAATATATAAAAATTTAATAAATACCGACTAAATAAATACTCACAATAAATGAGACAGGTGACCAAAACTATTACTTATTGTGTTGTCATTCTAATTTTATATCTCCAATTTTGCATCGATTTAATCAACCACATAATAAAAAAAGAAAAAAAGAAATGTGAAAACAAGTTCCCAAAATGATATTTGAAATAAAAAATAAAAAATAAAAAATAAAAAATAAAAAAAAGTTTGATAATTCAATTCCATTAGTAGTTATGGGCAAAGAGTGATTCATTTTCTACTAAAATTCTTTAATTTTGGGAGCATCCACTAGCAATCTAGCATACTGGTTATAACTTATAAACAAATATAAATGTTGTTCTATATTAAGACTAAACAATTAATTAATGGCAATATGCCTCGGTGGTTAAATACTAATTTTTTTTTATTAATCATGCCTGTCACATTTCAACGGGGTAGCTGAATATATATATATATAGATACTCGAT